GTGGCCGGACCCCACCCATGGAAGAATTCATGCACCAGGCCTCTAATACACACACACACACACACACACACACACACACACACTCAGAAAGGTAGAATGCCATTACTTAATTTCCACACATTTCTTATGCTGAATGAAGAATTTTACTTTGTATTCCCCTTTGGATTACACAAAAAGTGACCACATTCTGGAAGTTTTGCATTAAAACTTAACTAATGAAACAAGTAAAACTAAGAAAAAAATATGATTCTTCCCAAGGAGTATGGAGCAATCCTCAGGAAAGAAAAGAATTCTCTAGAAAACATGTATTATTCTCATTTGTACTTGCACATATGTACGGTCCACTCTCAAGTGTAGCCAAATCCTCCTGTAAGTCTTCTGTCACTGAAATAAGACCAATGAACAAAAAATGCTCAGGCCATATTTCATTTGTAAATAAGAGAAGGTATACAATAACTGTTTACTTTGTGGTAACTTTATCCTAAACACTACTTTTTTTTTTGCCTCAATTATCTTATTATTTGAAATTACCTTCTTATTAATTAGGAATTTCTCAAGGAATATAAACTACCACTTCCCATCAAAGTGTTTATTCTTCTTCAATCCAGAAGCAACCTTTCCTCATGTCCATAATGTGTAAATACAGTTTTTACATAGTTTTAATAAACAGATTATTTGTATATCATATTAGGTGTTTATGAGGGTAATAATAAGAGCAAAAAACGTAAGTTAATCGTTGTATTATTACTCTCTGAATATGTAATTATGTGTGTCTTTCTCACTTTTGTAGTAACCAGATATAATATTGTAAACTCTGAATGTTATCTACAAATATAAGCATGTGTGTATATACACAATACATATAAGTTTTAAATCTGAACTTTAAGACATGGACTTTGATAAAACCATACCCATGTTCTAGCTTCACCTGAAGTTGCAAGTATCTGTCTAGATGTCTAGATTTGTGGTGTGTTTTTTTTTGGACCTAAGTGTATACAAGATGCACTGTTCAGTGGAATGGCTTTAAAATACATGCCTACAGCCAGACATCATTTCACCTTTTAGCTGAAATATTGATGTATTCCCACATTTTCCTTATTTCATATTAAATAAATTATATTAATATCATAAAGGGATATCTACACTTATAGACAACGCAGGTTAAAATAGCACTTGATAAATCCTTATGCTTTCTCTGCTGCACCACATCCTTTTTACTATTAGGTAACAATAGCCAAAAAAATAAAATAAAAAGGATAACAATAAGCTAAAATTACCACTATTCACTCTATCCTCACTTGGAAACTTGACATTCTCTCCAAAAGTTTGCTTTATTAGAGAGAATGGAGAGCCTTTATTTTATTTCATTTTTCTCTGAGGTTGTATAAGTATAACTATACCTAGAAGGCAGCAAAGACAGAAAAGCTCAGATCTCAAAAGATTTTGAATTGTAATGAGGGCAGTGGACATCTAGACAGCATTGGGCCTTTAGGGTGTGTCTATACGATAAGGTTGAATGTTACCTCTTTGCTTGGCTGATTTATTATGAAGGACAGAGAGAGGGTTAGTCTTGGCTGGTAAAGCCACCCACAAAGAAAACAATAGCTTTTTTAAAATCTTGGCAGTAACATTGGAGGGCCCAAGACATGCATTTCTTCCAGCCCTCCTTACCTCTGCCTGAGTAAGGTGGGGACCAATAGATTAATAACAAGGAACAATCATGAGTCCTGATTTCTTGTGGTTAAAGAAAGGTGTTTGCTTTTGTTGTTGTTTTTGTTTGTTTGTTTTTTCAAATTTGATAAGATTTTAGCTTTTTCTGTAAAGCTTCAGGCAATATCTAGAGGCAATTTTCAGTAATATTTTGAATTGTTGGGGTAAGGCTTGCAATATATTGTATGGCAAAGAAGCAGAACTTTTGGGTGTTAATGAAGAAAAAATTTTGAAATCAAGTTTGTAGTTGATGTGAAAGAAATAAATATGGACCCTGGTTCTTAAAGATTTCCAATTAAATAAGGCCTATCTGCCTATAATTAGTTGATATAGATAATATTTAACTGTGAAAATACCGAAAATTTCTTTATTAGATTTGGAATTTGACTTTTCAAAATATATCGCTTGGGAAAATCATTCTTGATAAGAAGACTCCTGTCCAGTAAGTAATTTTGCTGGCAAAAAGAGTTTTAAAAAACTCTTATGTGTAATTTTAGGTGGCATCTACCTTTCCAAGCAATTTATGTTTTTTTTTTTTTTTAAATATATATTTTATTGATTTTGTACAGAGAGGAAGAGAGAGGGATAGAGAGTTAGAAACATCAATGAGAGAGAGTCATCGATCAGCTGCCTCTTGCACACCCCCTACTGGGGATATGCCTGCAACCAAGGTACATGCCCTTGACCGGAATCAAACCCGGGACCTTTAAGTCCCCAAGCCGACGCTCTATCCATTGAGCCAAACCGGTTTCGGCTCCAAGCAATTTCTGAATTGGTTTCCTCTGCTATCACTAACTGACAACCTGTGATTTATGGATTCAGAATAATTGAATTCTTGGCTGTCATATACTTTGAGCAAGAAATATTACATATGTTTCCAGAAGAATGATCTAAGGAAGAAAAGACTGGAGAGACTCCAGGTTCTGAAACTGTATTTGCAAACTGTGCTCTTAACCAAACGGTCCTAAAGATGCTCTCTCTGACTTTCTGAAACATGTTTGCTAAAGAAGCTTTGAATAATTTTTGAAAGTAGGATTGAACATAAGGTGTCTAAGCATGCTACTTTTGAGCTAAAACAAAGCAAAGAGAAGAGAGCAGCCTATTGTTGTTCTCACCTTTCCCAGAGCAACCAATATAGATTTTTTTTCATTGACGCATGAAATAGGCTGAATAAGTTTCCTCAGAAATAGGAGCTGCACATCTCTTTTTACCTGTCAAATGGAAAATATTTAGTGAAAGCTTGCCATGAATAGAATTTTTAAAAAACCAAACATGAACCCTCTAATGCACCTTCTCAACTTGGTTATGTTTTTGTCTCCATTGTACTTTTGTGAGTTCAGTCAATGGTTGAACTGGTCCATCGACTTCAAATTCCATGGAGTATCTTTTCATACATCCTACTATAACGTCATTGGTTGACAGTGGCACAGCCTAAGTACTGAGTGTTAGGAAGCAGGTCTCCTCTGAGTTTTTGACCAGCGTTGTCCCATAGGACTTTCTGAGATGATGGGAATATGCTGTAACTATTGTCTTTATGTGGCTATTCAGAAGGTGCTAGTTCAATTGAGAAACAGAATATTTGCTTTTGTTTTAATTACTTTATAGTCAAATAACCACATGAGAGAGGATAGTGGTTATTGTATCATAATATAGGCCAACTTTAGAACCGTGAGTTTATGACCCTGAGTAGTTCAGGCCTACATTGATGGGTAGCATTAACATTGGCTGCTCTGGGTAATGTTCAGAGGTTCCTCTGGGTGATTCTAAATGAGGGGGCAATGGTTCCCTATCAAAGAGACAGGTAAAAATTTGCTAGGACATTTTTGGTTGTAACAACTGGAGAATCCTCCTGGCATTGGAGAGTGGGGCCCAGAGGTGATTAAAGGTCTGAAATTATATTGTACGACACTTTGCTGATGAATTATTGTCCACCTCAAATGCCAATGGCAACCAATTTGACAAACCCAAATAGATTAGTAGAGTCCTCTAAATACAGATATACCTTAAAATAACGTTGGAATTACATCACAATAAACCTATCAGACATTGAAAATATCATGTGAGAAATGCATTTAATATACCTAACCTGCTGATTATCAGAGTTCTTAATATAACCTACCTTAACTGTCCTCAGAATACTTAGATCATCAGACATAATCCTACCTTAAGTCAAGGAGCAGCTGTAATTGCCTTCCTCTTTCTTCTCACCAGAAGCAAGAGACACATTGGGCATTTTGTAAACATGATGGGATGAAAAACACAAAGCATGCTATCCAAAAATACTGGCAATACAGTCTTACATTGTAGTGTATCGGTTGTTTACCTTCAGAATCACATAGCTGACTGGGAGATGAGGGTCACCACTACTGCCCAGAATCTCCAGAGAGTATCTTACTGCAGAAGGAAAAAATTCAAACTTCGAAATACAGTTTCTCCTGAAAGCTGATAGCTTTTGCACCATCAGAAAGTTGAAAAATCCAACGTCCAACCGTTGAAAGTCAGGAACCATCTGTATTGTGGTTTCATTTGTGAGGTCTCCTGTGGTCTCCGTCCTATCTGTAGGTAATACTGCCTCTTGTGATCCCATCTTGTTTTCTTCTGCCTCCTCAGGGAACTCACTTTCTAATTATGCTCATTTTATCTTCTATCTCCAACCACTCTTTCTCTATATCTACCACATTCTATCTAATCCAGTGGTCGGCAAACTCAACAGTACAATGATTGACATTTCTTTTGAGAGCCACATTTTTTAAACTTAAACTTTTTCTAACGCCACCTCTTCAAAATAGACTCGCCCAGGCCGTGGTATTTTGTGGAAGAGCCACACTCAAGGGGTCAAAGGGCTGCATGTGGCTCGCAAGCCGCAGTTTGCCAACCACTGTTCTAATCTATCCTATCTCAAATAATGTCTTTTCTTAATTCCAGATACTCAAGCTGGAACCATCTCTGCCCTCTGTCACCTGCCAATCGCAGAACAGAACATTTATTCACCTAGCTATCCGGGGAAATGACTCTATTGTTGTTGTTGTTAATCCTCACCAGAGGATATTTTTTCCATTGACTTTTTGAGAGAGGGAGAGAGGAAGAGAGAGAGACGCATTGATTGGTGCCTCCTGTACACTCACCCTGATCAAGGTGGGGAATGAACCTGCAACCCAGGTACGTGCCCTTTACTGGAAATCGAACCCAGGACCCTTCTGTGAGCAGGCTAACTCTTTAGCCACTGAGAAAAGCCAGCCAGAGGTAGGAAATTACTTTTTTATCATGATGAAAAGAAAGCACACCATATATAGTTTCAAAAGACACAATTTTTATTACATAGACATATCAATAGAGTCATCATACCATGTTCTACTTTTAAACAATTGTAAATATTTGTGTGTAGGTGTGTACACATACACACACACATATGGTTAAAAAATTTCAAGACGAGTCCACTTTTAATCTTCTATGCTTATAACTGCACCTTTTGTAGCTAGTCTCTACACCACCACACTAATTTCACATACTTTTTTTCTATTTTAGGATCCCATTACTTTTTCCCCAGGGAAGGCTCATACTAAAGCTGTAATGCAGTCACTTAAAAATGCTCTAGTTCATAGTTCATTATTTTGTAAAAATTAAATGTTCAAGTACTGCAACAATGTCTCCCTAATCTCCCCTATCTCAAAAAGTATTACTATACATCCCAAATATATCACTCTAAGTAACTGAGCCTGAAAATGGTGGGTTAAAATAACTTACATTTAAAGATATAGCTCTACTTGGTTAAATACACCGTAGGCTATTTGGAAAATTGTGATGATTGTATTTCTCCTTAATTCTATGTCAAAGCAGTGGGATGCCTACTTTTGTCCTTTAAGTGTGATTTCATAAATTATTTCAAAGGCAATAAAAGATCTTACTGATGTATTATAACTGTGTATTGTGCAAACATGTCTATGAGGAAATGTAACCTGAAGTTAGAGTTGGTGATTATTTTTTCAGTGCATCCTTGGATAAATTCAGTAGGACCACATATACACAAAATATCTGCATTGTATAGTTTAGATCTTTCCAGAAACGAAGATCATGCCTGCTTGTGGCATCCAATGAACAGTGCTGATGTTGATTCACCATGTGAGGTTGCATTTATGGCAACTTCTATAATCTACTGGATAATGAATTATCCAAATGAGTTGGGAGAGTTCAAAAACTACACTACAGCCATAGTCCAGTTATTTCTTTTGACTGGATACAGCCAGAAATTTTTAATGAGCTGATTGAAATATGGTGATGACTAGGTTGCTCTAAAACTAAAAGACCCTCAGATTTCCATTAGCGGGAATTATTATTTCTTAGCACAATTAATACCCATATTTTGCTTCTAAGTTATATGTCCTCATACTAGCTATTAAAGGTGTTACTTTACCTAAGGTTCAGTAGGCAAGTCATAAAAAAATCAGTTGAAAATGTATTAGCTTTGGGGAAAAATAAAAGTATGCAATACAGTCAGAGTTATATATTTTAAAATATGAGTTCTTTATCTGCTGCCAGAGGTTATGTTCTTATAAATATTATCAAAAACCATGCTATTTTCTTGCCTATACCTATTGTCTCAGGTTGCTATTTTAACATTCCATCATGGAAGTATTGAATCTTGCTACGTAAATGTGAGCCTATACTTTTATTTTCTCCTACAGATAAGTCTTTCAGATTCTTTGAAGATACGCATTCTTAAAAATGGCTTGTCTGTATTATTCTAGAATTATAAAGCAAACAAAACACTAAATTAAATTATAGCAAAGCTAATGGTGACTTCATCATTTGGGCATACTTCTCCCATCCTTTTATATAATATAATTGGGCTGTAAAATGTTTAAAATGTAAATACCAATAATAATCAAAAGTAATTATGTGGCAGTATATAATTTAAAGTTATGTTTATAAATAAATATTAATAATTGCCATCACATAAATACCATAATAAAATAGCCAAATAACTAAGTAATTTATCTTTATATTACACTATTCAGATCACTCAACCCTATAAATCTCAACTGCAATAATTTTTACAGCAGACATAATAAAAAGAATGAAAATGAACCAATAAAGTAGAAATTAAAATATGATTTGGGGGTATAGAAAAGCCTTGAACAATTGCTTTTCCATCTCTGTAGGAATGGAATCTTGATAACATCCCAAGATATCACAATTTCTTTTCTACTACCTACTTACATTCATGATGCTATACATATGTGCTGTATATATTTTCAATATTTACAGAATATATACACACATACACACACATAGTTTGTTTTGTTCTTAGGCTCATTCATGAACATGCAGATCAATCTGCACAGTATGATCAATACATGATTATTTGCCTTAAATGATATTTAATTACAACTTTTCACTCTTGTGCAAAAATGCAAAAATATCATACAGATTAGTGTTCTCTCTCTAAAAAAAATCTTTTTTATGGTTTACATTGTTTTGTAATTTACAAATAAATTATGAAATATAGTTCATTCACAAGTTGAAAATAATAACAATGTTTTTACAACAAGGCATTGTTGAGGTTTTGAATCATGGCTTTCTTGAAGCCACTATCTTTCAAAACAAAGACGTCAACAGTTATTGTTATTTTTTATACTTGCACTTTTTTGAATACTTATATGAGATAGGTGATAACAAATCTAACACTCATGCTAGTCAAATAATGTTTGTATAGAAGAGGAATCTTTCAGTTTTATCTTTTCCTCTTCCCCCGAAGAGTCTTTTTTAGGACTATCTGTATTAGAACATTTCTGGAAAGTTTCCCCCTAAAAAACAAACAAACAAACAAAAAAACCCTGAAGACACAAGTGAGGCAAAATAGAGAAAGAATAATTTTAGTGGGTGCTCAGGAGAGATAACAGCAAACGCAAGAACTGTTTCAGTTTTATCTCCTAGTCCTTTGGTATTTCCTTGCCTCGTGAAAATCCTAAAAAAATTGTTCAGTCCTTTAAAACATTAATTATACTCTTCCATTAAATATCAGGTGTGGTCCTCCATTGCTCATGTTGTCTGTCATTTCCTGTTAGGAAAATAACATGAATTAATTAACATTTCTTTCAGAGTAAGACATTTATTTGGTTAATGGGTTTGCAAAACAGACATTTCAAGCCATTGAAAAACTTGCTGAGTTTTGGGGAAGGTCAATGATTAATACTGGTGTTGCGTTTGAGAAAATGAAATTTCATGGCATCTCAGGCACATGAAATTGCTGAAGTGACAGTCTCTGAGACCAAAGTCTTCTGCTCTCATAAACAATTCATTCTCTCCCCAGTTCCGATTGATTCCCCATTGGTTCCTTAACTGTCTTTTGGGAAGACCTACCTAGAAAGAAGAAGATGGTTATATGCCCAAGTTTCTCCAAGGCAGGCTCCTTGGCTGAGCATGTCAACAAAGGGCCAACACCTTCATTCTACAGAAAAGTGTGTAGCCTTTTTGCTAAGAACTGAAAAAGGCCCCTGAGGGGCTGATGCTTACTTGGAACTATAAATCACGATGGAAAGAGTAATTTTCCCAACACTGTTACTCATACAGTTAAAAAATAAATAAAATTCTTAATATGTTTTTAAGGATCAATTATTAATAAGGAAAACTACATGGGAAGGCAATAAAATTTAAGTATAAAAGGTAACCCAATATGGTAAGCTCCATTTGCAGTGATAGGAAATATATTAATTTAAGAAAAATTTAGAGGCTTTCCATTTGTGTTTTATTAAACATTAAACTCTTCCCTACACAATAGAAGGTAGCGAGGAGATGTGCGGCCCATACACATTTATAAGTGCACCAGATTATAAATAATTTGGCAAAACTGTGTAAAAGTAGATGACAACATCTTCCCTCTCTTGAACAAGACTATTTAATAATTCAAATGGAAATTATTTTCTCAATGATTTCATGCCTATCAGTTTATATCGACTTATGGTGTGGATGAATGAACAATTACAAAGTAAAGCATTTGCTGTTATAAACTTTATAAACTCTTCCAAATACTTATTTGAAAACGAAAAGTCATCCAAACCTCATTTTTAGCCTTTATCTCTTTGAAAATTCAATACAGAAGGTAAAAGAGTGAACAGGCTTGCTTTTTCGGATTGGGTGGTTTGGAAAGTTGCTTTGGAGGAGCAATGAGGGACTTGAAGTTAGGAATCAGTCTGGTGTTTGAATCTTACTTTTGAAAACTTTGGTCTTTTAGAGGATGGGTAGAGTTTCTTCCAAGAAGATTATGGGAAAGGAGACACTAGGCACTTTTCTTCTCACATCAAGAAGACCTGTCTTGCCAAAACCTGTTTGGCTCAGTGGATATAGTGTCAGCCTGCAGACTGGAAGGTCCCAGGTTCAATTCCAGACAAGGGCATGTACATTGGTTGCGGGCATATCCCCAGTAGGGGGTGTGCAAGAGGCAGCTGATCGATCTCTCTCATCGATGTTTCTAACTCTCTATCCTTCTCTCTTAAAAAAAAATAAATAAAAAAAAAAAAAAATATATATATATATATATATATATAATATATATATAAAATATATATATATATATATTAGTAGTAGTAGTAGTAGTAGTAGTAGTAGTAGTAGTAGTAGAAGAAGAAGAAGAAGAAGAAGAAGAAGAAGAAGACCTGTCTTTGCATGCTATGTGCCCTGACCCCATCCACGCTCTAGGGGGTTAATTGTCTTGCTCCTGGGCAGCCATTATGTCTCCCCTGGCAAGATGGCAATAAATTACTAGAAATAAAGAAAAAAACAAACAAACTGAAAACTCAAACCCATTCAGATACAGCTATGATGGGAAATGTAGAACATCCTTTGAGCCAGCAGCTAGCCTCAATGATCTGGTGATGGTTCAGCTCACTGAGGGGCTGTCTCTGTTAGTGATATATGAGGTGGAAGTAGTCTAAAAATACACTGAGATTATTGAGCTGTGGTTAAGTCAGTAGATAAGAAACTTGACTTGAGGCTTCATTCAAGAACTCAGTGTTGGTGGCAAGATAAGTAGAACAAATCCCTCCAAAACAAAACAATCTTTAACAAAATTTACTCATACATCTTTTTCTGCTTTTCTTACTAGAACAAAAATACAATTTCCTAATGAATTTATAAGAAATAAGTTCCTTAGATTTCTTTTCTTCTAAAATGCTTTAAGAATATAGCTTCAAAACTATTTACAAATTTAATCTAATGTATAATCTTTTATAGCAGTATTTAAAAAATCCAGTTTTTAGAAATATTACCAAAAAAAAAAAAAAGAATTTCCTTAACTAAATTCATCCTAATACAGATACAATAAAATTAGCGATAAAAAATAACAGTGAAAATCAGTTTTTAACTGGATGAGTATCTTTAGGTTATTTGCAAGTGGGCACATCCAACTTAACAAGATTATACTCTAACTTTGGGCCTGACCAAATGGGATTACTTGCAATTGGACATAGTACGTCTACAGTTGGACCACGGTATCTGTGTGACCGTCTGTGGTTCCAATTCTGCTGTTTAACCAAAGCAGGAATGGAGACTACTCTCAGCAATCCACATTAAGGGAGCTAAATTTGAAATGCATCACATCAGATAATTTTACAAGGAGAAAGTTTGCCTACAGAATTGTTACTGTCTTAGTGCGAGGCTTATCTGCTCGTGCAGATGCAGTCTGTCTTTATCAGATCCATCTATGATTAAAAACAAAACTCTGGTCTGTGAAGGATGAGACTGAGTCGGAATCATGATGTAGCAGAGAATAGAGGAGTCAGGAATCATCCAAGCAGAGAGGTGTTTGGATGCTTAGAGGAGGCTGAATATTTTAAATACTCAACCAAGTTTCAAGCTGCAAAACTCAGCCATGTAGGTTTTGGCAGGTCCTCAAAGTCGCTCTCATGAAAGCAGGACTTTGAGGAACCACATCCAGCATCAGTCGAGGCTGATCTGCTGACACCATGGCTTCCTGGAAGAGGCAGCACTTTGGGCAGTGACATTACAACATGGCAACTCCCTAGAAATTCGCGTACCTTGTAGGTAACTCTGGTGTCGGGGGCACCACCGGGCAGCTGGGCAAGTCGGTTATTTCAATAGCCCTCAATCTCTAATATAAATATAACAATTATACAGTAAATATTGCACACACATTTACACAAAAAAACGACATCACACTAGCATAACAAATAGAGCATGATACCCTCTATTAAACATATAATAATAATCTACTTTGAACAACCCATTTCTATAAATGACTAGTTTTACTATTAACTCTTTTTTCAAGGACACATGTAAATCTGTTTAAAATTGCTTTCTTGAAACAATTTAAGAGCATTTATTCTGTTTACTGCGACGTATACAAAATTGAAACACATAAAACTAAGAATAAATACTTTCCCCTCAAAACAACATCATATAGAAAAACTTGGCACTAATTCTTGCTGTTCTTTCCTCTGTTTTGTGGTAATGCAGTTTTATTTCCCTGATCTCAAGTAAATTATGATGTAGCTATTATCTTAGTGAGTTTATGTCACAGATACTTGACTTTTCCTTAATAAATCCAGTAGCAGGAAGTAAATTTTAAAATATATGCAAATATAGTAGAAACACAGACAGCTCACTATATCATTTGTCCTTTTCTGTGGTAAATGTAACTTCCTGTTTGAATGGGTTTCATGAAACAATTATGCAAGGAACACTGTTTAAAATACAGGCAAAGCTACCCAAATATGCATGACATGTTAGACAAGAATTAAGTGAAGCTTTATGTGAATTGTAATTTCTGCACTGGTAGGCAAGGCTTTTTGTTGCCTTATTAAAAGGCCCCTTTATGCTTGAAAATCTAATTTACATAATCAAATGCATCTCCTTACAAGTACAAGGGTGGGCTAGAAAGGCGAATTCATCCGATTTCTAAAACTGGGGTTATTGAGTTGAGAGTGTACTTAGTGTTTTTCCTCAGCACAATACCTAAAAATCCATCTTTATTAGGCATTTGGGTATTTTACGAACTCTTACTTTAGGAGCTGTGCTTTTGTATAGAGAGGCTACAAAAATTATGCTCAAAATAAGTGTACCCAGAATTGCAGAGGAAAAAAAGTAATACATTCCTATCCTTAGTCCAACTGGACCTACATTTCACAAAATCTAGTTTCTCACTTTCTCATCTAAAGCAACGCGTCGGTTCACCTAGATTTGCCTGCAGTCTTCATCACATACCAGCCACGAGCGGAAAAGGGACGAGACTCACTTTCTCAGCCATCTCATGGGAGTGGTGCAGGGAGTGCTCCCTCTCCGAGAACATCCTCCTCTGTTCATAACTGGCCAGCCGACAGGTGAGCCAGGAGGAGAGGGTGCAGCCCCCGATCCCGATGCACGCCAGGGACATGGAGGCCACGTGCAGCGGGTACAGGGAAGACGTCCTTCTGGTCACGGCCCGGAGGAACTGGAAGTTCAGGATGCCCCCGATGAGGCCGCAGATGCAGCAGGCGGAAAAGAGGATCATCTGGCAAGAAGAAAGGAGCGTTAACGTCGAGGAAGGATGGTTGAACTGTTTTTGTGCTTCCTACAGGACAGGAGCTGTGCTTTCCCCAGGATTCTATGTCATCAGACTGAATGGAGAGGGCATAGACCACAGTGTTCCCAGAATGAAGTGCTGACTATACAGAAGCCAGGGATACATCTTTAGAAAACTCTGAGGTGAGCAGAATTGGTCTTCTAAGTAGATTCAGATTTAACTAATATTGATTTAATATCTACTATGTGCTACTATGCAAGGTACTTGAACAGAAATCTCAATGAACCCATCCAGCAATCCTCTGGGAGAGGCAGGTAACAATCTTACTCAGGGACTGAGCCCATATTTTCTGACTCCAATCCAGTTTCACTATGTGAAACTCCCTCTCCCCACAACATATCTAAAGACATTTTCATTGAACTGCCACTAGGTCCACAGGCTTCAGATATTTATACTTCTTTAGTTTTGTGATGTGAGGGAATTTAATTGACTATCCTATATACTAAAAGCCTGATATGCTAAATATTCAGTTGTTCAACCAATCAAAGCATAATATGCTAGTGATATGCTAAGGCCACTCAATCTCTCACTATGACTTGCACTGACCACCAGGGAGCAGACAGTTGACCAACCAGTTGCTATGACGTGCACTGACCACCAGGGGCAGATACTTAGACTGGTACGTTAGCTTGCTGCTGGTGTCTGGCCAATCAGGATTGAGTGAGACAGGGTAGACATGCCTTGGAGCCCTCCTGTGGTTCCTCTCTGGCTGGCAACTTCCTGCATCCCTCCCTGGCCCTGATAGTGCACCAGAAGGGTTCCTTGGCCTGGCCTACTCCCTCTCGCAATCTGGGCTTAGTGTTCCCTCTGCCCGTGAGTGCATGAATTTCATGCACTGGGCCTCTGATTTAATTTATAAAATGTTTATCCCTGTGAACTGACCCTTCATCTTGCAAATCTTGTGTTACCATGAGGTGCCACAGTGAAGCATACACAGTAGATATTCCCATAATACCCTTGGACTGGCTGCTTTGGGGAAACTCGGAATGTGGCTTTGCTTTTGATCCTCCTATTGGCTTGATGTGGATTTCCATTAATAAAACCAAAGTGTGTGTGTTTTTTTTTGTTTATTTGTTTGTTTTTATTCAAAGCAAATATCACAGGGTCTCTGGTAGAACTAAGTATAATTCCTGCTGTGTAACAAATGTTTTGTGAATATTTAATAAATTTAATATATTAATAGTATTCTAATAGCTTTAATAATTTTATTTTATTTTGCACAAGTATCTAGGGTTTTCATGATACCTTACAGTGTAATGCTAATTTAATTAGCATTATCTCTATCATTCTCCTGGCACAGCATCTGTTCCAGTCACCTCTCTTATCCATCAATATAGCTTGTACATTCCTACCTCAACAATATGTTCATTTCCTGAAAATAACTTTGCTTTTTTCTTTGGACTCTTAGATGAAAGGCCCAAAGCCTGTCCTAACTTTCTCAGAACGTTTCCATGATTTTATTTATCTCCTCCTTTGGCATAAATCTTCAGGGCAGACAACTATACAACTGACCTGAGCATTTAATTCTACAATATCAGGTATTTTGGCTGTTGACAGTTGAATCTAGCAAACACATATTGAGCACCTAGCATCTGTTAGGTCTTGAGTGAGGTTGCAGTTGGCATTATAAAAAAGAACAGCTCATAGTTATTCCACTTGAGTACATTGCAGTCTTGGAGAAGATCCAACATTTCAAAGAAGAGAGGTGAATGGGCTGCCCTCAGAATAAGGAGCAGGAGAATTCAGTCTAACCGGTGGTTTCAGACAAGACTTCCCTGACCATATGTCACCTAAGCTAAGTGCATGCAGTTCCCAGTAAGGGGTAAGGCTATGGATGCAAGAACTAGCACAATAAAATAGCATAATAGAGAGAAAGAACTATAAGTAGTTGTTTTTTTAATTTCTCTAACTTTATTCAGCACTCCTTATTGTCTGTCTCATGGTACTCATCATCAAGGCTAAAAATCTAGTAATGGATAAGTAAAATACTTTTATAGTAATTAAATGTAATACTAGGTATCAATTACCAAAAAACTGAATCATCCCCAGTGGGAACCTGTAGCTCCTTCTGGTAGAATCAACCAGTTATATTCCATTTTAAGTATATTCAGGAAATGTAGTTTCTGGATAATAAATATATTTTGGTGTCTAGTCATTCTCAGAAAATATGAAAAGAATTAAATGTTAGCTTTTTATTAAGTCATTACTGTTCATTAAGAAAAATGGCCAATTCAATTGACTATTAGAGGAAAATATATTTCTTCTGATTTTTTTTTTTTTTGTAATTCTTTAAAGGCACCAGACTTTATTAACAAGTGCAGATAGAGCATTCTCACCTAGGAATTAAAATGTAAAATCTACACCCAAATATATGCATATTTGCATATAAAGTATTTGGTTAAACTCTTCCTGTCCCCTGGCCCTGCTTCCTCTGAGATTCAACAGTCTGTTCCATGGATCTATTTTGTTCGTCAGTATATTTTGTTCAGAGTAGGGAGCAGAAAATTTAGCCCAACCAATGGTTTCAGACAAGACTTCCTTGACATGAGTGAGATCATGTGACACTTGTCTTTCTCCGACTGGCTTATTTTACTTAGCATAATACCACTCTTCAGGTCGCACATGTCTAAGCAATGGGGCCTTCATCCTCTTTGTCACAATTGACATTCTCACAGAGAAAGATGCGATTAGAAAAGGAGATAAACAAAATAGCTACACTTCCCCCCCCTTCCTTCCCTTCCTCCGATAATTGGTCTCCGCTTGGAAACCCCTTTTAGGCTCAAAGATCACTTCCTCGGGTCCATGTATATTATTCATTTCGCCAAACTTTAAAAGTGTATTTTCCTATTGTACTCAATAAAGTAAACCGTGCCTTTTCCTTCTTTCCAAAACTCTCATAAAATGCAGGGAAGCCACATTGGAGCACACAGAAGCTGTCCTCCAGCCAACATCTGAGTTAACTGGGAGCATGCTGCCTACCCCGAAGCCCAGGGTAGTTCCATAAAGCATCTGAAAACACTTACATCTGCATTCACAGTAATAAAGAAATAAAATAAAACATCTTTGTGAATTAACTGTCACTATGACAACACAGCTGTTCTGCTGCTTTGTAAAATTATCTTGACAGTCCAACAAAGCCAGCAATCCGTAGGCCCAGGTCCATGTTTAAACAGTTAAATCTCCCATGAACTCATGTTATGTCTTTTTCAGTTTACTGAAGGATTCATGCGAATGTTTAGGAGTCTATAAACTGGAAAAGTAGATACTGTCATCCACCGAAGTCATGAAGGCTGCATATTCAGGCATTTACAGAGTATATCAAAGCCTTTCTTTTTCTCTCTTTCTTTCCTTCTTTCTTGCTTATAATCTGTAATAATCTTTTTTTAATCCTTAAGCAAAAATATTTTTCCATTGATCCCTAGATAGAATGGAAGAGAGAGGGAAAGACAGAGAGAAATATTGATGTGAAAGAAACACCTCGACTGGCTGCCTCCTGCATGAACCCTGACCAGGGCCTGGGTCTGGCCCCACTGGAATTGAACCTTGGACCCTTCGGTCCACAGGCTGACACTCTATCCACTGAGCAAACTGGCTGGGGCTCTAATAATTTTGATGGTTTTCTTTGAAGATAAAAAAAAGCCAGGATTTATTTGTCAGTCTTTTTTCTACCCTAAATGAGTCACATTCAACATATGAAAGTTGACCAGTCACCATTTCCATTTCTGTGTTCTGACATTTCAAATACTTCAATGCACAACGCAAACAAGGCAGAAACTTACGATAAGTCCAGACTTTTTTTTGGCGCACAATATTCCACATATGCCACAAAGAAGAAACTGAAAGGGAAAAGAACAACAATCATTTCACATTCAAAGATAAAAGAACGCCTAGTTTTTAGCTTGTAGTTCACTCATGACATTTGCTCCAGGGAAGCTGGAAAAATTTATGCTCTCATTAAGCTGAAAAGGAACATTCTCCATTCCAGAATAGGAAGAAATAAGTGTAAGCGCTAATGAAAGTTTGTTTTTGCTTGGTTGATATGGGTAACTGTGGGATCTAAGCAAAACTTGAATCAGTTTTACCACCAGTCAAAATTCAGAAGCAAATGAATGTAGACTTGTTCCTCCTGTGTCTATTCATCATCTTCTTGTCCTTTCCCACTTTCTCAGGGAGAACAGTGGTGAGACACAATCATTCCTACTAAGCAATCAGAAACCAATGGGCTATCCTAGCACTAATGAAAAGATAAGGCATTGGACAGGGACATGTTTTTCTACAGAGACATTCTTTATACCTCTCAGGTAAAATGGCTTCCCCCTCCTTCTGCCAGAAATACTGTCCTTGGAGATACATCAGAAGAACACGGGATAAAGCTACAATAGTTCCCCCATCCACTGGGGACACATTCCAAGGCCCCCACGGATTCCTGAAACCGCAGAGTACCAAATCCTATATATACACTTCATTTTGTCCTATTCATACATACCCATGATAAAGTTTCACTGATAAATCAGGCACAGTAATTAATTTATAACTAATAATAGAAGAAACAATTATAATAATACTAGAGGCCTAGTGCACAAATTTGTGCACTGGTGAGGTCTGGGGCCTGCCCTAATTGAGGTATTTAATCTACACTTTATTAGGAATTCCCTAATAAGGTGTAGATTAAGCTTATAATCATTTAATTTTGGAATGTTTCCATTTAATATTTTCAGACAACAGTTTTCTATAGGTAACTGAAAGAGCAAAAAGCAAATGGGGGAAATATTATATTGATGGCATCTAATTTCTTGTAAGAAAATACATGGGTGACGTACTTGCTTGGCAGAATTAATTGCATCAACTTACCTATCAATGATAGTTGTCAAAAAACAGTAAATTGTTTAAGTTATATAGAAACAGGGCCATTTAAATGCACATTTATACATAATTCTGGTTGAGAGAAACCCATGTAATAAAATAATCATTCATTAATAAATAGTAAGCTTACTAAGGGCTTTCAGATTAGCAAAGAAAACTTTGAGTTGTTTTAAGACAGCTTATTGAATTTTCCCCCCACATAATGTTTACCCACCCCAGATGAAACAATTTTCACTGAAATTTACTTCTCTAGAAATACACTCATTGGTGAATAGAAACAGGCTTACATTTTTCTCCTCAAGATAATGAACTGAATCTCAAAGTGAGCTTTAAAACGCTGATAACCTTTAAAGATTTTTATATGATTTTATCAAAACAAATCAATTTTTTTAAAAAGAAGCATTATGCTAAGTGAAATAAGCCAGTCAGAGAAAGATAAGTACCACATGATCTCACTTATTGGTGGAATATAATGAACAACATATCGATCAGACTGTCAAACCTCAGAGGGAAGGTAGGGGAGGGTGGGAGGTAAGGGGGAGAGATCAACCAAAGGACTTGTATGCATGCATATAAGCCTAACCAATGGACATAGACAACAGGGGATAGGGCATGAGTGCGGGACATGGAGGGACAATGGGGGGGTGGGGGAGAAGGACACATATGTAATACCTTAATCAATAAAGGGGAAAATGATGTAGAAAAAATAATAGGAAAACACAGACAAATGTTAAATGTTGACTAATTGATATGGGAGAAATCTATCTTTGGTTCAATAGTGCATTTTCCTTGTGTCTGGATTAAAAGTTTGGTGATTTACTTTGCTACCACCAATTCTTGGATGTTTTTATTCTACTTCAGTCACCAGTTAAAGAAAAACAACTGGCCTCTTTTAAAAGTGTTATTTTGTAGTTTAGTTCACAAAATGCCAGTGTGCTGAGCAATTCCATTTTTTTTTTTAAATACTGTGTTAATAGGATTATGATTTTCTTAGAGGACACCCTGGCTAGACATCTAAGGCTGTCTTCTAGGCCATCAGCTTCCTCCCATTTGGGATCCCATGTCTCTAGTGATTCCAATATAAATTACCTGTGTGAAATGTGGAAAGTTTATTAAGTTGGCAAGCCTGCCTGATGGCAGTGATTCTTGGCTGCGTATTAGCGTTTAAAATTCCTGATACCTTGACTAGCAATTAAAAACCAGAATTTCCAGGTTGGGATTCAGGCATCAGTATTTTTAAATCTCTCCAGTATTTTAAAAATTTCAATGTGTTCTTAACGTCCAGAACTGCATGCAGGTTGCCGGCCAGTGCTTTATCAGCAGAACTGCTCACTTTAGAGCTCATCGCTGAAGCACCGATGTTCCCCTTAATTACTCTCAGGGAGATATGGAGGGACACAAAGCTACATAAAGTGCTCTTCAAGGGAGAAACATCAAGTGCTTGTTTATGACGTAAGGTCAGAGTGTCAAGACTGTTTGGTCTCTAATGGATCTTAAAAATAGAGATCCTTATTTCATTATCTTTTGACTTATTCTACCCAGTGCCTTTCTTTCATCATTGCAAACATGTTTTCTCCCTATGTTCTTCAATTTTTAGTTAACTAGACCTAGAATTATCTGGAAGAATCTGACTAAATTTATATTGGGAATTGAGAAAATAGGCATAAAAAGTCACATATACAAATAATCATCATTGTAAAAAGTATAGGAAAGTAATAGATTGAAACCAAACAAGATCAATGTCAAGGAAATAGCAATTGAATTAAAATATGGGCAAAGGGACTTGACTAAAGAACATTTGCCAATGTCAAGTAAAAGTAGGAAAAAACATTCCACGTCATTTGTCATGAAAAATTATGGATTTAAACAACAATGAAGTGCACTACCCACCTATTAATTGGCTAGAATACAATAAAACAACAAACAAACAAATTGGTGATATCAATTGCTGGTGGTGTAGAGTGACAGGAATTTTCATTCCTTGCTTGTAGGAGTGGAAAATGGTGCAGTTATTTTGGAAGTCAGTATGACAGTTTCTTACAAAGCCAAACACAGACATTCTAAATGATCCAACAATTGTGCTTTTTTTTGGTATTTACTCAACCAACTTGAAATGTTACAGCAGTGTTAGCCATCACTGACAAATACTGAAAGTAGCCAAGATGTCTTTCAGTAGGTCAGTGGATAAACTGTGGTATAGCCATACAATAAAATACCATTCAGTGATATAAAGAAATGACTCCTCAAACTATTGTACTCAGAGACATAGATGAAATTTACAAATATTGCATATATGCAATATTCATATGTTGCTAAATAAAAAAAATAGCAGTCTTTATAATGTATGATTCCAATTATATGGCATTCTGAAAAAAAGTGAACAATAGGGACAGTGACAAGATCAGTAGTTTCTAGGGTTTGGGAAAGGTAGAAAGAGTTGAATAGATGAATAGAGGACATTTTTTAAGACAGCAGAACTATTCTATATTATCCTGTAATTGTGGACACATGATACTATTGTTAAAACCCATAGAAATGTACAACACAAAGAATAAACCCTAATGCATGCACATTTAAAAATTATTTAGGGGGTCAGGGAAATCCCACAATAGAAAGCAGAATATGATGACAAATCTAACTGTATAACAAATGTATAAAGTACTTTCACTGAAGGAGAGGGGAGAAAAGATACTGGTCTAAGTAACTTTGGAAATGAGTGGAGTCTGTAAGACTAAAGGCAGAAGAACATGTACATAAGTACTAAACTCTATTTGATACAGTGTTACTGGTTAATAATTCTTATAGTACTGTACATGTTCTGAAATTGAACAAGTAAATTCAATGGATAATGGGTGGTGGGAGCAGGTTCTCGCGGTTGGATAGAGTTTATAGATAAGCAAGGGCACAAGCTAAAACGATCCTTCTGGTAATGAATTAGCACTGTTGATGTCAGAATGAACTGATTTTTAGCTTAACCTTTATATATTGTAGTTATATCTACTTATAGATCTGTTCAACTTCACGTGTAACGAGAGAAATGCAATTTCAAACTAACTCAAATATACTTCTTTTCACCTGTCAGATTGCTAGTAATCCTGAAGATTGGTAATAAATTAGATCATCTTGTCAAAAATATGGGGAACTAGATGGTCATACATTGCTTCTAGTCACCCAAAGTGATAGAACCTCTACTGAGAGGAACTCAGCAATAATTATAAAAAATTAAATACATACACATATATACAATTATAATGTATATGTATATCTCTTTTGCTTCAGCAATCCTGGACTTGACAATTTATCCAAAAGATATAGCTACATGTCTGCAAAACTATCTGTGTCAGATTATTTATTTTAGCATTGTTAGCAACAATGTAAGGGGAGCAATCCCAAATGTCAATCAATAGATAATTGATTAAGTTCAATGGATTTCTTTGAATCTATTAAAAAATGTGAAAAAGCATTCTATACACTGATCTGGAAAGTTCTCCAACCTGTCTGGTTAAGTGAAAAAAATAAGCTGTAGAACTGTGTGCAAAGAAAGTGACATTTTGTGTAAAAATTCAAGAAAGATGTTAATTTACATACATATTTGCTCTTACATGCATAAAATAATTCTAGAAAAATATAAGAAACAAAGAGCTGTGCTTACCTTGTTTGGAGAAATGCTGGAAACTGAATGAAGTGGCTAAATTTTCATCGAATACTTTTGGTAATTTATGTTTGAGCCATGTATAAGTGTTACTACTTAAAAAGTTCAATGAGTAGCCTTCTATTTGTTCAAGACAAAACTATTTTTGAGGCATTAGGAAACAATTGCCCATCATAATTCATCCTTACTAGTGAATGACTCCCAGCCTTGGGTATAGGCAGGCAAGATAATGGCCTTAGGGTTGAGACTGAAGAAACACCAGCAGAACTCTTTGACTCCAAAGTACAGGCTGCAGTCATCCGGACACATTCTGAATATGTA